GCCATGGGCAGGAAGGAGCACTGGGGGTGGCAGGGGTCATAAGACCCCAGCCAGGTGCCTATCCAGTCTCCCCTTGAAGATTTCCAGGGAAGGTGAGAGCACCACCTCTCTGGGAAGCCTATTCCAGGCTCTGGCCACCCTTACAGTGAAGTAGTTCTTCCTAATATCTAACCTAAACCTATCCTCCCTCAGCTTGTGGCCATTGTTCCTGGTGACTCCAAGGGGGGCCCTGGTGAACAGACTTTCCCTGAGTCCCTGCTGCTGGCCCCTGATAAGGTTGTAGGCAGCCACAAGTGAAGCTTCAAAATCTATTGAAAATTATATTTAGTACTTTATTTATCCTGTATATAGTCAAAGTTGCAGGGAGAGGTGGACAGGCAAGAAGTCGCACCAAGTGAGGCACAACAGCAAAAGTAAAACATGTTTCATTTAGTAAGAGAAAGAAAGGAACTTTTCCTTCCACTTTGTGCCTCACGGAAAAGTTATAAAAATTTAACAGCCTGAGCACAAAACTCATTGAGCTATACTGAAATACTGTAATGAAAAAATAATTAGTGCATATTAGCTAATAGGAGAAATAGGCTTTTATGAGGCTGTTCTACACTAGCACTCCTGATAGATACAGTTATAGCATGTTCGGTACTACTCTGATGACAAGTCAGTTACTGAGAAGTAGGAAGGTGCAGGAAATTAAACAACTCAGAGAACAGTCGGGAAAGAATGCAGTGTATTAAATGAATTATAGAATGAGCTTTCTGAAAAAGCCTGAAGTACAGTATTAAAATAGTCCAAATGAGATGATGTGATGTGCGTAAATAGGTCAAATACACTACACATGTTCGTTCTGTTATTTACTCCCGGTGTTTTGCAGGCAGAACATAGGTTTCACAAAGCTAATAAACAGGCTCTTGTAATTCCACAGGACTGTGCCAACTTACTGGGAAAGAAAGCAAACGTCCGTGTAAACACAGAAATAACTCTTGGTTGCAGAATTCCAGATAAACATAAAGCTAAGAGTGTATGCATAGCAAAGCCACAACTAACCAATGTTAGTTAACCTCTGAAACTTCAGCCAAAAAATGAAGAATTTTTATTTTAACGACTTAATTTGGAGTTTCAAGAATGCCCGCATAAAGCTTATGAAATAGACCTCCATCAGTTTTATTGGAGGAGAAGGGTGGCAGGCATTATTACTTGTAATTTTATCAGGTTTAGCTTTTAAAACCATCTCCTATCTTCTTCCCTTTCTCAAGAACCTTTTCCTTATCTACATATTTCCTTTTCTAATCTAATCTTTCTCCTTTTTCCCTTGTGCTCTTTCCTTTGTTTGAAAAACTGCTAGCAATTATTCATGAATATCAAGCTGGTGCCTGAAAAAGTATGAAAGAACTCGGGAGGGGAGAGGGGATTGTCTGTAGAAGCACAAGATGGTCACAGAGAAGCTCTTACTGAATTACAATAAGACCCAGAGGCAATCAGTATTTGGGGCCAGTTTGTAGTAGGTGCTATAGTTTATGAAGTGACAGTTGAAGTAGCTGCAAATCCAGAACAACAAAAATATATTCAACTGGCAGGGCTGAGATTTGGTGGCGAATACCAAATTGTTGACAAAGCTGAGCCCACAAAAGGTAATGCTTAAACTTTTAAACATTTTTTTTTTTGTTCTTTTCCAAGAATTTGGAGTCCAATATTAAAAATGATTTTCCCAAACCTTTCTGACTCATAAGGGGGTTTTTTTCATTAAGAAAAAATAGTTTAAAAATAAAAACCCTTCCTACCTTAAAGGACATTTTTAGTTCTTCCCCATGGCCCACATTAATTCCATTTCTCTTAATCCATGATCCTGAGTTGAAGTTATACAGCTGAATTTGAAGATATGCTTTCTGATGTTACTTTCAGAAATCTCAGGTTTATGACTCAACTGCATGATCAGGCAGAAGGAGCTTGATGATCTTAGCACAGATGTGCTTTCTTTTGCTGTAATCTATCCTTTCCTACATCTTGAGCAGCTCAGTGGAACCTGATTTTGTCATCTTCTAAGGGCCTGAAACCTAATGGAAGTCACTGGTATCTATTTAAAGTGAAACTACAGTTGTTTTTCACCATGAATGTTAACCCCCCCCAGCCCCCCAAAAAACCCAAACCTTTTTGGCTTTTAAGGGGTTCAACACTTAATAAAAAATGTTTCTTTTTCAGGCCTATTGTATCTGAACGAAATGAATTGCTCATACAGTTCTTGTCTGATTTAAGTTTAACTGCCGATGGCTTTATTGGTCATTATAAATTCAGACCCAAAAAGCTGCCCACAACTACAGCTCCTCCTCCAACAGCAACTCCTCCTGCAACAAGTAAGTTTTAATGGTTTAATTTATTTTATACTGAAGAAGGACAAATTTCAGGACAAGGAAAGATTCTGTACCAAGAAGCACATTAAAATCTAGAACTTGGTTTTGTGGTTTGTTTGCATTAAAAAAGTTGAGGGAATGCATGAAAATTAATGTGCTCAGGGGAATAACTATTTAACATAATTAAAGAAAACTCAAGTCTAGATTTTACTGTACCTGTAACTGTCACAGTTGGAAAAAGTCTTATCATAGAAATATTGAACAAGGATTATCTAGACATATTTCTGAATCCATTCATTTTTTTGATAGTTAGCTAGCAAGTAACTTCTACCATGATAAACAGAGCAGTGAAACTGACATTTATTTTAAATAAATTGTTTACTTCTCTGAAAACTGCTTTGGCTTAGACCTCTGAGGAAACCATGAAATTGTTTCTAGATGAGTTTGTATGTAAAAATGGTCCAGACTTGTCTTTGCCATGCTGCTCAATTTCTAAGATTCAATGAAGGCTAACTGAATTCTCATTAGACTCTCCTGGCAACAGCATAGAGGCATTTTTTCTTTGGAAGTAGATCTTTTGCAGATTTAAAAAATCATAGCATCTTAGAGAAGTATGGCTGGAAGGGACCTCCATAGGTCATCTGGTCCAAACCCCTGCCTGAGGCAGGATCGTCCCTCTCCAAACCATCCCATACAAATCCATAATCTAATCTGTTAGTGAAACTACAGTCAACCCTGACACAACACAAAACATAACATCCTAACCTGGCACAGGTAAAGCACAGGGACCATGGCAGCCAATGTCCTGCCATAGTGAAAGGTTGTTAATGTAAGTTCAAGTGATGCCATGCCCAGTGCTGCAGAGGAAGGCGAGATCCCCCACAGTCCATACTAATCTGACTGTGAAGTAAAACTCTTTCCTGATTCCAGATAGGGAGATCAGCCTGACCCTGAACAGAAGGACAAGACCCTCTAGCCAGGAGCATTGGCACTCCCCAGTCTCAGTCCCCAGCCTTGGCTGCAGCCAACACCCAGTGTCTCTGAGGAAGGCTTCAAAAAACATCCCTTGACAAATGTAGCAGCCAGTGGGGGAGAGGGTAGAGAGGAGGGGAGGGGAATTCCCTCCAAGCCCCATGAGGCAGCTAGCAGAAAAAATGTACGTAAGTTTGTGTTCTTTTATTAAAAGAACTGTGCAATACTAACAAATAAGACCCCAGTTTATCCTTGACCATATAGAGAAGCAGTGGGACATTTCCAGTATGTTTTACCTTGTTGCTGGGAAGTTGAAGGGTTTTAACTCTTGCAGTTTCTCTACACTGGATAGAAAATATTCCAGGGACAATGACAGTGTAAATACCATATTTACCAAATCTTACCATATTTACCCAACTATAAGGCAACCCCTAATAATTAGATTTTATATATGGAAAATTTTTAATTTGATATAATTTTTCTAGGTATAGAATCTAATTATTAGAGGTTTGTCTTGAATTTATCAATTTCTTACTGCTACAGCAGGGAAAATAAATTGGGGCAGAGAGGGTCAGATAGCTGCTTTGCTGCCCCGTCCCCAACTTCCTCCTCCTGTAGCCCCTTCCCCCTCTTTACTGTCAGACCCTGCTCTCCCTGAGCACATGGAAGTGAGGAACAAATCTGAAAAAACTGGCCTTGAAATAAACATAGCTGTAGCAATTTCATGTAGTACCGATAGACTTAATTCATCCAACATTGATGCATTTCACGTTTTTTGAAACTGCTGCAAGTTTTAGCACAGGTACTCCACGAACACTTTTAAGGAGCACTTTTGTACCTACTTAGAGTTCAAACTATGCATGATATTAGTCCAAAGCCAAAAGGCTCATGATTTTTCATGGGTCCTTCCAGAGTCAACAGCATTTCAAGCCATGGTGATCCTACAGCTCAGCACTGCTCAGTATGTGCGTGTACTCCAGATACTTCCTCCCTACCCAAATCCACATGCTAATTAGCCTTCATTCATGACTGGAAGTGGGTGTTCTCATCCTGGGATCTTCCAAAAATGTATATGAAGATGAGGCATAAAGCCACCTGGTCTAACTTCCCTTCGTTGAAGGTGGGGCCACACTAATCATGTGACAGGCTGAGAGAGGGCCTGACAGAGGGATTTGGGGTAAGGTATTTGGGGCCTTATCTGGTGATGTTTTCCAGACATTTAAAGCTGGTGAAGAAGCAGGAATAATTGGAAATGGGAAAGAAAGGTGGGTTGTGCTAGCTCATCCTTGTGGTAGGGTTCATTAGTATGTTTGCCCCATATGGGTCATGTACTTGATAGTGATGCTCAGTGTTGGCTACATTTAATCAGCTTCATAGGTGATTTGTTACTGAAAGCTTACTGCTTTTAGCAGAACTTCAAAGACAAGCAGTGTATTTAAAGTGGTTTCCTTGTATGCAAATATAGCTTTTCCCTCCCATGTTGACTGGGGGAGAAAAAACCTTGTCCTATATTGGAGTAAACACAGTATTTATGGTGTTTTTTGCAGTATATGGTTTGATTTTTTATATTTAAAAACAGATCAAATTGTAAGAGTAGCTTCACAGGGGTTTTCAGCAGGAAACTGAAGCAGTGTGACATTGAAAACATTTGAAGTTGTCTTTGGGTGAAAGTAAATGTTTTAAAAACTAAGGTCACAATTAATTCTAAAAGCAAGATAATTTTGACATGATAGCAAAGAGAACCCTAACAATGAACAGTGCAATTTTTCCTCAATGAATTACAGATGACAAAATATATTCTGTAATGTATGATCCTAGTCACTAATATGAGTTAGAAAATTTCTGCAGTATCAGTAAGCAAGGATTTTTACCAGTGATATCTTTTATTGGACCAAGTACATGGTTGGGATAGACTTAGACAAGCTTTTGAATGCAATGCATTCTTCTTCAGGTCTGAATGTATTGCATTTGAAAGCTTGTCTTAGGTGCTTACCCACATTCAAATGATCTGGGAGAATTCCCCCAGGTTTGTTTTCCTCGTAGAAAAACTTACCTGGATATGCCTGAAGAGACATTTGATTGCTGAGCATCTGAAGAGGGGAGGGCTTGCAGTGCTGACACTATGCAGCCAGAGCGCCCCTGTATATAAATCTCAGTATGCTCTGCTGGCGCTCTCAGTCTGCACAGAGATAGATGGCAGCACTACACCGGGCAGCCCTGATTGACTGACCCAGACTGCTTAGAGTCAGCCTGTGTCCCCCTGCTTCATAACTTGGGAATTGTGAAGAGGGTATGTTATGTTCCCTGCTCAGTTGGAGCAGTAGAGCCCAGTGAATGACCATCTCCCTGAGGAAGTAGGGGCAGCAAAGCACCTTCAGTTGTTGGAGAACTGTGCTGTGGCTTCTCTCAGAAGAGAATATGAACAGTATTTGCTTTAACAGGAAAGACTGTCCTGGGAGTGACTCTCCTGGTTGTTCCCAGGTTATTTTTCTCCTGGACCAGTCATTTTTGCTCTGGGAAGAAAATCCTAAACATCTACTGTGTTCATCATTTCTCCTGGGAGTGCAGCAAAGGGAATATCTGTATATGGCCTCAGTCAAGTCTTTCCTTGAAAAGCTAAGTCTAGTTACAGATTGTAAATATCAAGGGAAAAAACTTTATTCTGTTATTAGAATATATTTCAAAATACCAAATACCAATTTTACTCTCTTTCTTTTTTTTTACCATTTTGTTCTGTGAAAAAGCTTTGAAACCAACTGTTGCTCTCTGCCAGCAAAAATGTAGAAGGAGCGCGAGTCTTGAGAGCAATTACTGTTCAAGTAACTTTGGTAAGAACAACCAAGTTTATTTCTTTATAATTAGTGACTTGGGACTGTGTGTTTAGGCTTAGAGAAATTACAGAGAATTTAGTTGTAAATTGCCATTCATACAAGGGAAATGCTTTCACATCATCCTATCTGCAGGCATCTTACATTAGGATCTGTGTATTACTTAATGCATTCCTGGAGATGTTTTGAAGTAGAGAGTGAATGTGCGTCAGAAACAAATATACTCTCTCAGTCTCAACATAAATGACTAAACAGAAAGTGAACTGTTGCTATATGAAAGCCTTAATTCAGGTACTATGCTGGCATGCTGTTTTGCTGGAGCAGCCTGTATATTTTTATGTTGTACATACTGCATTACTCAATTTCATAATTCAGCCTGAAGACATCCAAAATATTTTTTGAAGAATTTAGAAATTGGACATAGAAAAGACATGAAAGTCTGAGCACTACTTCCCTCTTTCAACTGTAAATCACAGATGGTAAATAATGCTTTACTATATTTGGTCATTACTAACATCTGATGACTTGCCAGTGATCTCAAGTGCTCCTCTATCATCGCTGTTAAACCCCATTACCTTACAACTGTAATGTAATTACCATCTTTTCTGCAAAAGAAAGCCCTCCACAAGGGCCCCACTCTTTCAGTAATCTAGGCTGCTTTGTGCCATTTTGCTAGAGTGCAGTAGCCCTCAAACACAACAGATCTGGGCCACAAAATCTCCCATCACAGGCAGTTTCTAGTTATCGTGGAGTCACTGTACTACTTTTTGATCCACCTCCCTTCCTGGCTACCAGTCTTAGGATGTGGCAACTGGTGAAATTAGAAAAGATTTCAGGTTGTTCTAATTTACACCTACTGCAGGCTGGTTTAGGATCGGAGGGAGCCTAGAGTTATCTTTTGTCCTCTCCCCCTACTCCCACTTACTGAGTTGTGCTGAGAACACCTTAATGTTTATCCTGAATATGTAGCAAAAGCTTTGGTGGCAATTGAGTAGTAATGCAAATTCAGTGCACATTTCCTTTACCCCCATGAAATAAGTGAACAGTTCTCAGAGTTCACCTGGTTTCTGATGATTAACTGAAGTGTCATTTCTTCTCCAGGACGAAAGTAAAATTATGCACCATGCTTTTCCACTGTCTATTGTGTTAATTAATGCAAAAGGTTTCTTCTCTGACCTGCATTTTGTAACCACAAAATTTGGTTACTGGTCTTTGAAAGAACGCTTCCTTTATCATCACTTTTATTGTGATATGTACATTTCCCCATGTTTGTATTAAACATGATCAGAAGAAATATATTTGATGGCAGTATAATTAAAGGAATACATTATATCAACTCAATTAAAGAAATATATTACATCAATTTCTGTAAATATTTTTGCAAAATATTGATTATACAGGTATTTAAAATAATCAGAATGCATATTAATTATTTATTGAATCATCTAAGCTTAGTATAGAATCAATCCTTGTTGCAGTATTACACACAAACTGGTATAAGCAATTGGAAACCAGTTCAAATCTGTAACACAATAGAAGTTCAGTGCACATAAACTGCCTTCAAAGTGGCTGAAACCGGTTTAAGATAAATCTGGATTGATGTATCAGACTTAACTGATTTAAGTTAAATTGGTTTATTGAACTTCTGTCCCAGATCCCCTCCAGATTTAAGTTACCGCATAGTCCCCCAGCATCCCAGAATTCTTTGCACCCCTTCTGCAAAAGACCCCTTGCAGGGTAGGTGGGCTAGCCTTGGCCTAAGCTTTCTGCTCCAACTGAGCAGGGAGGTGTGTTCTAGTGCTCCCCAGGTTCTGGCTTGGGCCACTGCAGGCATGTGGCTGCATTTCCAGAATCAAACGTGAATTTCTGTTCACTTGTTTATTGGTTCAATCTACACAGCATAGACTAACCTGTGGATATTGAATCAATTCAGCCTCAGGTTTTTTCTTAACCCAAAATAATTGTGTGTGCTACTGGTTTGCTTCTTTTTGATGCATAGAGACAGGCTAATGAGTTCATTTCTGCTTGCTTTTTCATATTAGGAACATTAGGTTACTTTTTCCCTTGCTCCAGGTGTCTTTGGAAGACATACTGGCTGCTTGCAGACATGGTGGGATGTGGGGGAATGGTGCTTTATTTTAAACTCAGCGCGCTTTTGTGCTATGCCCAGCACATGCCCAGAAGAGGCATCGCATTAGTTGCACCCAGCTTTCCCAACATCTATACAGATTGGACACTTTAGTGGGGCTTTTTTGGTGCTTTTATCTAATTGCTGATTGAATCAGCTTAAGTTAAAAGTGCCAAAAAGTCCTGCTGAAGTGTCTTATCTATACAGATGCTGCAGAACCAGCTTGAAGTAACGCACTGCTTCTTCCAGTAAAGTGCAGTTTTGTTTTGTTTGTTTTAGTTAACGTCTGTCAGCACCCATTGATATTACATGGTTTAAATTTAAACTGCAGTCTATGGCTGCTGACAGACATGGAAAAAAAACCCTGAAAAAAATTGCTTTATTGGAATAGGCAGTGTGTTAGTACAACCTGGCTCTGCAGCATCTATATAGATCCCGCATTTCAGTGGTGGTTTTTGGCACATTTATCTACATATTCTTTATCTAAATATTCAGTCAGCTAGTAGATAAAAGTGCCATAAAAGCCCCACCGAAGCCCCAATTTGTACAGACATTGGGCAAGCTGGGTCCACCTAACACACTGCCTCTTCTGGGCATGAGCTAGGTTCGGTGCACTCCAGGTTTAAAATAAAGTGCCATTTTGCTTTAGGTTTTTTTTACATCTGTAAGCAGGCTATGATTTACTGAGGCCACTATAATAAAGAGGCTGATTCTGGAAACTCAGAGTTCCTTTTTTCCCCTCAGGTGAGAGTACAGGAAACCATAGTTTCCCTTCTAGCCTAATATGATGTCGTCATTAACCCACCTATTTTTTTTATCCCTCTAAAAAGCACTCCAGTAAAAACATGGATGCCAAAACCTGATATTGCTAATGGGAGAAAAAAAATCACCTAGAATAATAATAAAACTCTACGTGGCCCTAATGTATAGAAGGCCTGTTTTTGCTTTGCGGTTCACCTTCTAAGGACAATATATGTGTTTTGTGCAGTCCATCACCATCACAATTAAGAAAATTATACGTAGGCTGACAATAGATTAATTTGTAATACGTAAACCTTGATAGTGCGTCTCCCTTTAAACTCTACATTTGTCTATTTCTGACAAAAATGATACATTTTCAAACAGGATTATTCTTGTGAGAAGAACAAAATATGACTTAAAGCACTTTGTGGTCGTGTTCGTTTTTTGAAGAGATAAGAGGAAATGGATCTGTCCAACAGTGGAAAATTTAAAATACTGGGCTAACGAAGAAAAAACAATTTGGCTTTTCTCTAGCAAGTAACAGCTTGTCCTATAATCCCCTAAGTGTTTTTGTGTTACTTGTACAAAGAATAAGAGTCAAAATCCAATAGAATTTGTCTGTTTTAAATTATTATTGTACATTGGTTCATTTTATCTATTTTTTGTATAATCCAATACCCTGTTCTGTTTTAATTTTAAGATAGAATGTGCAATTTTATTGCGTGCTTTTAGCAAACACTGTACATTCTATTTTATTTTATTGTTCATTTTATTGTGTTATTTTAGTGAAAGCTGTAACTTTACTACTACTAATAAATATCTTTTTGCATTTAGTTATAGCTGGAACTGTAATCACAGCAGTCACACGGGGTGGCAGCTTACATGCAGTGATATCAATCATTAATGTATATAAAGAAGGAAGTTTAGCAATCCAACAGGCTGGCAAGAACCTGAGTGCCAAGATAACTGTTGTTTGTAAACAGTGTCCTTCCATCAGGAGAGGTAAGGAAAAAAAACTTTACTTATCCCTAAGGGGTACTGATTTGTTGAACTGTTGTGCTAACAACAAAATTAAATTTAGGCATCATGTAATATATCAGGATAACCCACTTGAAAAAAGTGAAGCTAGTCATCTAACACATTGGTTTGCAGTCATTTGGCCTAAATGACTCTGCATCTTTATAGGTAAACAGCTACCCGATTTTAGATCGGGTGCTTTATTTCATGTCAGAGGGAAACTTTTTAAATTTAATACATCTGTGGGGAAGGCAAAACTATTTTTACATTTGATTCATGGAGTTGTTCAGTTTGTGAAGTCTAAAGACCTGGAAATGGGTTTGGTTTGGCAAATGAGATTTGGCTGGATTTGATTTGGGATTTACACATCTGAGAGCCTGTTTTCATATGCAGTTATTTAGAGGGGTGGAAATGCAAACAAAGTAAACCCACAAGGGCTATTAATATAATAGTAAATGACAGACAATAGCTTCATTCAAAATGTGACCTTTTCTCCTCCATAGCTATTCTGAACAAGTTTTACATAGTATTTCTCCACCTCCATTCTTTTATAGGTAGATTGTTATTTTTATTTTATTTTACTAGCAGGTAACACCATTCTAGCTATACCAAGCAATACTGTAGACACCGCATGCCAGACAAGGCAACATCCAATGAAATGTCATCATAATGACCAGTGAGATGTTGTAAGAAATGCTAAGATTGTTTCATAGTAGCTAGCAATTAAAACAGCGTAAACTAGCTCCACCTCCTGAGTAAGCAACAGTAAAAAGCAACAATGACACCAACATTGGAACAACAGCAGGGAACCATCAGAATAATTCACCTAGCAGTTAAGAAAACATGCAGGATACTATTCTCATGGACCCAGAGGGACAGCTTTCCATCTCCAGCTCCGTGTGTGCAAAAATGAAATTTATTTCCAACCTATGGGGACTTTTTACCATCCATACTTTTCCCAGTCTGATGAAGGGCCTTTGAGCCTGAAAGCTTGCAGAAAAGGATATTTTTTGTGATTTCTCAGTTGGTCTAATAGAAGGTATCATTTTGGAACCAAGAGTTCTAGATTTTTGTATTTCTTTTTATCTCAGACCAACACGGCTACCAAGTACATCCCTGACAGGATACTACCAGCATTTAAACATGCGGATCCAAAGTGGCTAGCATCAAAGAAAAAAAGTGTTGGCAGAAACTAGTTTTTGCTTTTACCTTGTGATGCCTGGAATCTGGATGCCTGATATCCTTGGTGTGGCAAACTGTGTCCCTTACGTAGACTTCTGGCTCCAGATCACACTCTTCCGTTTCTTTCCAAATCCTCTTGAATTATTTAATATACATTAATTTATTATTTAATTCCTAGAAAGTTCCCTCACTTGCTCACTTCCTGCAGTCCCACCCATCTGCCTGGTGCCTTGCAAGCCCCGAACCTTCTGGGGCCATAAAATATTTAAATCCATGTCATAGCTCTGCAGCCATGGACTAATCATATGCCAAGATCATCCCCCCAGTAGTCTTGTTAGTATTTTACCCAATTTCCTTTCCATGCATCCATGACCTCCCCACCCAGTTACTTACTAGCATCACGTTCTTTTTTGCAGCCCTAGTACACCTGTGACATGGCTGCTGTGATCTTATCATCCAATTCTTATATTGATTTTTCTAGCTTGTTCTTGGCACTTTTCATACTGCCCTGCCTTCTTTTAAACCAAAGGCATTATCATAGTATTTGCAAATATAAGAACAATGTCAGCTGGCTGGGTAAGATACATTTGTTTCTAGGTATGAATCAAACCAAACAACATAAGTAGACCTTAAATACAGGATACAACCAGAGGTGGGAGTGCATACCATAGCCCCAGTTGCATACCATATGCTTTGTTGATCTTTGCAAACAGTACCTATAAAACAACTTAAGACTTGCTATATCACATTTTTTTCTCTAGGTCTAAACTACATCATCATGGGCCAGGTGGAAGAAGATGGTAGAGGCAAGGTCCTGCCTAACAGTTTTGTCATGGCTTTCAAGACTAAGAACCAAAAGATTCTGAATACCCTGAAAAACAAGAGGTGTTAAAAAGTAAACTCTGCACTTGTGCTCTGTCATATTTGTGGGAACAATCTGTATACAGTAGAAATCAAAAAGATAGAACTGATCATTACCAGTAAGATTCTTGGTCTGCTCTTTCCTCCATTCAGCATGTCACTGGCACTGGTTGATGTTGCTTAAAGAAGAACTTAGAGGAGAACAGTTGCAGCCTGGCCAGCTGATCTGAAATGTACCAAATTCCAAATACTTTAAAGCAGTTAATTTATACGCATCTCAGAATTTTTTTTTAGAATTTACATGGCAGTGTAAAATAAGAATTTTAAGTGCAATATTTATAGCAATTTTCACTTAGCTTTTCCTTTTAAAGTTGTTTCATTATATGGGTTCTTGCATCATCATCTGTGCTTAATAAAATTTTAAAATTTAATCAGATACCAAACAGTTTTTGAACATCACTGTGTAAAGTGGGGCATGCTTAGAACAGACAGAAATCCTTCTTTGATCACTTATGTGCTTTTGATGCTGTGGGACTTGCCTAATAAGAGAGGGATCACATTTTCCTTTAGAGGGCTCATTAAAGGCCTGTATCCATTGAAGTCAATGAATCTTTCCACTAATGTCAGTTAAAATTAGATTAATGCTTTGAAGAATTGAAGTGTACTACAATACAATGCTTTTATCTCCTGATGACTACATTCTGTTAGGCAGTTAGCTTTCCCTATATAGGAAAGGGGTAGCGAGTAACGCAGTGGCAGTGAACTACACCTGTGAAGTTTGAATTTTGATCGCTACCATGAAAGAAGCACAATAGAGTGCTGCTCAGCCAGGCAGCAGCATGTAAGTGGTAGCATATCTGTCTCTGCTGATTCATGTAGCTTTAAGTACTACAAAGCATAAGCATTTCATTTTAATTGGACAGCAGTATCATATCCACCCACTATACATAAAGGAAAAGGCCTGAAGTAGGATGGAGGGGCTCACAGTAAAACACAAGTTACTGCCCTATGTTAGCTTTATCCATTATATCTGGTCAAAACCTTATTCCAAAGTTGCAGGGCAGCAATGAGGAGCTCAGGGAGGAATGCAGCTCTTACAGACTGATAACGGAGAAGTTGAAGAACTCTAGGGAAGGTAAACATCGAGCTATGTTTATACAATCAAATAGTTATGCAAAGGCTCAACTCTGCCAATACAAAATTGCCCACGGAAGCATCTTAGACTTGAGTGCCTGAGAAGAGACTTTTCTATTGTTAATATTGTTCAGAGGGCCTCTTATACTTTGGCATGCTATGAAGAGACCTCTTAATAAAGATCATCAAAATAGAAGTATAACCAAGTAAGATGCAAATGTTCTTAAAGCAGCACCAAGTTGAAAATAGTGTTTCCAAACTGATTCTGCTACTAATTGCATTATTGTAGTGCTTGAAAGCATTAACTGGTACTGGAAACCACTGTACAAAGGGCTCCACAGGCTGGAGTTGACCTGTAGGCTGCTGACCCCTGAACTAGACAAAGAATAAAGGGGAAGGCAAAGTGGAGGTACAGAAAGATAAAGTCACTTGCTGAGCCTAAAGGTGATGGACCCAGCAGTGGAACATGGATCTGCTGACTGCTTGTCTTTTGCCCTATTCACCACAACCCAGTTAACCTTTTTTTATTATTATTTGGAAAAAGTCTCAGTGGTAGCCATTTCCAAATCAGATTTTAATTCTCCATATTAAACCTGGTTTTCAAATACAGGTTTCTACGCAAATAGAGAGAAACACTACATTGGTCCTACTTGGTCTGTCAAGGGCAAAAGACAGATACCTTAGAGACATTTTTGAAGCTGCTTTTGCCAGAAACAAAAGGCAAATCAAAACCCAACATTTTTATTTAGAAAGATGAAGACAGACAACACTGTGGTACAGCTTTGGCTATAGCTTCCCCCTGCTTCTGTTACAGTTGTGCATGAAGAATACTTAAAACTACTAGCAAGAGAAGGAAATATTCCTGTATAAGGAGTAAAACAAATTAATGTGATCAAGAAAAAAAGATAACTTCCTATGGCAAAAATACAGCACTTGGGGGGAGTGAGGGAGGAGGAGGGAAAGATGAAAGAAATCCCCAAAAAATCAGTATATCCCAACAGTCTCAATAGAAGAAATGTTTACTGCTGCTAAGTCTTGATAGTATTTGAATGAAAAAATTATAAATCCTACACCCAAATAAATTCTAATCAAATGTTTTTTATTCTTTTTGATGTTGATTTTTGAATTTTTTTGGGAACACTTACTCAATTGGAGCCATGGCAGGTCCTATGAGGTGACAAGAAAAGAAGTCCCCTTAGATGTTCATGAGTCATAAGACTAATTGGTCACTAAATTTTGGTAGAGAAAATGATTACCCTTTTTTTTATTGGTAGAAGGAAATAAATAACCCATTTTAAGTCTAATGAGTTATCCATTAGTTAACCGTCTTGTTAGTACACCATAGATTCAACTTGAAAAGTGTCGCATAAGTAACTCTCAGGGAGGCAGATCCAAGTCATGGTTCCCCAGACATTTTAATACAGATTCTTGTGCCTATCAAAAACTGAATGGTTGTGCTTTGGATGAAATCTGAAAATTGGAAATCAGAGATTAAAGCTAATAAAGGAATTAGATGGCTAAAACAGAACTGGAGAGCTTATGTCCAATACAATATGTCCATAACCATGGAGGCAATTAAACTACAGTATCCAGGTAACTCTTGGTTTGATTTTTAATCTCCCTGAATACCTGGAATTCTACTTCTGCATGTACTGCCAACTGCTACAGTGTGAACAGTGCCTGTCTCCTGCCTAAGCTCAACCATGATCCATAAAACCCACTGTTAAATGCCAATCAGGTAGACAGAATCACAGCATACCTAACATGCGCCCCCAGGACAGGACCCTTCCCAAAATGCAGATTTGATCAGGTTTTTTGTTGTTGTTTTTTTTAAGATGGCTGAAAGGGCAAGTGGCAATACTGTACCTATTTCTATATAATAACAAAGTGGTTAGAAAGCTTACCCATTAAGTCTCTCAGCATGACAGGGTCCAAACCTATGTGACCTACCTGCCAGAATTCCCTAACCACTGCCTGCTCTATAGGCTGGAATAGAGCAGACACTTGCCATGTCTCCAGTTAATGCAGTGTCATTGTACACCAATTCAAGATTCACAGGAGAAAAAGTGTGCATGAAAGTATATGACTCCACAATCAAGAGGTTAAGTGTTCATCTGGGTGGGAGGAGTCAACCTAGGTTCTCTTCCCTGCTCCTAGGGGACCATTTTCTGCAATTTAAATAAATACTGAATATTCCAAATTGCTGCACAATTTCTAGTGGGAGGGATGGAAGTTGTCTCCATCCAGACAAGCTCCCAGCCTGCTGGTTAAGACACTGTCCTGGGAGATGAGAGATGTTTACTTTAACCCTTCAGACTGAGGAGGAAACTAAATCGAGTTTCCTCACTTCGTGGGAGAATGCTCAAACCAATAAATTGCTATCTCCACTTCCTCCTTTGGCCAAATTTTATGAGTAAGCCCTCCTCCATTTCATTCAAAGAGGGAAGGGAAAAGATTCCAAAGTTATAGATACAGGCTGCATGGAGTTGCCCAAGCTTTGGCAACAGGCAGGCTATAAGACATTCCTGGTCCTCCACATTTCCCATGGGCTAGCTGTAACTAACTCTGCTCAAGCATGTGGGTTTCTTTGGATCCTACTCTGAAGTACTTAACTCTCCCCATACACTAGATTGCATTCCAGCAGCAAGGGATTATACCACCTAACTTTTCTATTGGGTCTAGCCCCAAGTGTCACGTTCATGTTGGTGCCTTCACTGGAAGTCCCACTAGGGCTATAGCTTGAAAGTAGGGCACATGAAAGTGATCTTGGAGCCTAGGATAACTTCATTAACACAGACATAGTCAACACTAGGTGAAAGTATCTCTTGCTTGAGCAAGGCCAGTGGCTGTGACAAAAAATGATGTATGACATGAACGGTCGCTTACTTCTATATTTTGAGTCGTGCCTAAAGAAAAAAGCACGAGGAGCTGAGCCACTCAGAATGATCATATCCCAGCTACTATGAACATAAACTTGCATCCTCAAGTAAAATAAAGAACAAACCCTTATTTTACAGAATTCACTTTATATGAATGAAAATGTAAAAGATGCCTTGATATTAGATGAGGAGAGTTCCATGTTTTGCTAGGCAGATGAAGGAGGTGAGGTAATTACCAGTTTGAAGATGAAGGGAAGTAAGGGCAATAGTGCTATACTAACAGATAGGTATAGCAAACTCCTAACCAGCTTCTGTAATCCTACATATTTTGTTGTGGTGTGTACTGAATTAGAGAAGTTCTTTCAAACTTTGCTATTAATATTTAAAACTACATTTTTCAAGTTGCTTTTTATTTGTCCATTTCCTCTTCTGGAGCACATGACAACATATACAGCACAAAGTTTTATGTCAGTACATAGTTCAGATTTGAGATTCGCTTCCAAATTCAAGAATTGGATTAGCCTCTTTACAAAGAACAAAAGGAGGCTACACCCTTATTCAAATAAAAAAATAATAAAAAACTCATTAGACAATTTAGACTACCATGGCAGCATGACTTCAAGAAGCCTAATATTTAAATCCCTCTTGGAATATGCATAATTCAATAGTACAGAAAATATATCACCTTTGCAAGAAACAATTCTGTAAGAATTCCCTTTGAAGGGATCCCTGACATAAACC